GGTCAAAGATCAGAAGAAAGTCAACTATGCATCAGATGAAGGACAACACAGACTGAAAAGTATTATAGACGGAAACAAAACCTGTCCATCTACAATGTTGACTAGACGAAAAGAAAGTCAAAGCATCAACGTCATACACTCAAGATGAAGGTTAAGACTTGAGATGCACATGGACTACCAAACATAGACGAAGATTGTCAGGCAAGCTCTTAAAGAATCATGTCTCAAAGGACAAATCAAGCATCATCTACAATTATATAAATGCTCTCAACATAATGGTGTGATTAAAGGAAGAGAAGAAGAAGAAGAAAAAAAAGCACTCAAAAGTAAAAGCATGCATGTGTCAGAAAAAGTACATTACTTTTTCAGATAAGATAATGTTCTGAAGCTACGATGACCGGAAAAGGACAAAAAGGTTCCTAGGTCTTTGCTAAACTCAGACACAGCTGCTAACATGGCAAAGAAGACTTCACGCAATGTCTATAAATAGAAAGCAACATTTAATGCGAGATCAAACTAATCATGAATAACTACATCCACTTCAAAGGACACTTGCAACGGGCAAATTTTACAAGACTATATATATATCACGACTTCAAACCTTGAAAGGTTGGCTTTTGGAAAAAGATGAGCGAAGAGTGATATCAAGCCCACGAAGCAATGAAACTAGAGATAGAGCGTGTAGAGTCAAATGTACCATAGTGTATTTATCTCTGTAGACTAAAGAGTTCTAAGTGTAACATAGGAACATGAACCTTAGTGAGTGTATTCATCTTTGTATTCTCTTTGTGAGAGTAAACCACACACTCAATCCTTGTAAAACTAAGGTTGTAAACCTTAGTGAGTGTAAAAACATATGTATCCTCTCTGTGAGAGTAAACCAAACACTCAAACCAAAAACTATCATTTGTAATTTGTAAAGCCTGAAGAGGCTAGGGACCTGGAGAGGCTTGTCAAAGAATACTCACTAAGAGCCAGAAGTGGCTGATCAAAGAATATTAGCGCTAATGGTGAATTTAGCGGGCCAGGAGTTGGTCGATAATACTCATTGTTAGCCTGAAGAGGTTGATTAAAGAATAATAGAGCCAATGAGTGAAGTTGGCTGACCAGGAGTGGTCATGACCTAGGTGGTCTATAATACTCACTGCTAACCTGTAGAGGCTGATTAAAGAATACTAGAGCCAATGAGTGAAGTTGGCCAACCAGGAGTGGTCGTGACCTGGGTGGTCTATAATACTCACTACTAGCCTGAAGAGGTTGATTAAAGAACAATAGAGCCAATGAGTGAAGTTGGCCGACCAGGAGTGGTCATGACCTGTGTGGTCTATAATACTCACTCCTAGCTAGAAGAGGCTGATTAAAGAATACTAGAGCCAATGAGTGAAGTTGGCCGACCAGGAGTGGTCGTGACCTAGGTGGTCTATAATACTCACTGCGAGCCTAAAGAGGCTGAACAAATAATACTTGTACCTTATTAAAAATATAGTGGAACCCTTCATTTGAAGAAGACTGGACGTAGCTCAGTCTGAGCGAACCAGTATAAAAATACTTGTAGTATTTTTCAATGTTTTAGACACACTTTTATTTGGCTAACTTAATATACTGAAAACTTCATCTAATGTTTATCGTCTATTAAAATTATCTTCAGATGAAAACCACACTTGTTCAATTTATTATCTTAAAGAACGATTTTCGTTTAAGAAACATTTTCCCTAAGCAGACGATAAACTCCTAGACACAAAAGTCGTTTGTTGAACCAATCCTGCACAGTTCCAGTTTAGCACTCAAAACAACATTTTATTAGACAAAGAAGAAGTCCCTTGCGAAAATGTTTTTTAAAATGCCTTTGTTCACACACACATATTCAAACCTTCTTCTATGTGTATTTTCGCTAACTTCATATCCCACATCTGCTTGGCACTCTTGAAGTTGTGTACTTTGGTGTACTCTTCCTCAGATAGAGCACACATGAGTGCATTTCGGGCTTTGGAGTTCAGCACGAATCTTTGTTTTTGTTCTTCATTCCAACGTGCTTTAGGTATCTCCCTACCAGCCTCGCCAAGTGGAATGTAGTCTCTTTGTTCTATGACATCCCACATGTCTATATGACATGCGTCAAAGAATGCGATCATTCTTTGTTTCCAGTAGTAATACTTTGTTCCTCTGAAGAGAGGTGGGTGGTTCACAGCTTGTCCTTCATTTTCCATCGATCGTTATGTACCCTTGCAGTGTTAGATGCTCAACCCAAGGGGTCAAGCTCTGATACCAATTGAAGTTAGTGGAAAAACACACAAAAGGGGGGTTGAATGTGTGTGTGAACGAAGGAATTTTAATACTATTTTCGCAAAGAGACTTTTTTTCATCTAATAAGAATATTATTTTGAACAATTAAAAACTGTGCAAGTTTGGCTTAACAAAAGATTTTGCATTTGAGAGTTTATCGTCTACACAAGAAAAATGTTTCTTAAAATTATAAGTTAAGTAGGTGTATTTTTCGTCTGAAGATAGTTGCAGTGAAAAATAAGTAGTGGACGAAATTTACAGTATAATATATCAGCTAAACAAAATTGCGTCTGAGATATTGATAAAAAGTGCAAAGAGTTTTATGCTGATTCACTTGACTTGAGCTACATCCAGTCTCCTTCAACCGAAAGGTTCCACTAATCACAACGAATTACAAGTATTATCAACCTAGTATTCTTAAACCACTTTTGGTTCCCCAAGTATTATCAACCACACCTGGTTCGCCAACTTCACTTGTCAGCGCTATTATTCTTAAACCACTTCTGGTTCCCCAAGTATTCTTTCAACTAGCCTTTTCAGGCTTTACAGCAGATAGATGTTTTGAGTGTGTGTATAACTCTCATAGAGAGGATAGGATGGTTTCTACACTCGCTAAGGTATGTAACCTTAGTTTTACAGAGATATGTGTTTTGAGTGTGTGTATTACTCTCACAAAGATGATAGGATAGTCTCAACACTCGCTAAGATAAGCTATCTTAGTTTTACACAAATATACAAGACTGTACAGGAAGAGATGTAAGTTTTCTTTTATGTTCGCTTTTGCTTATTGGTCGTTGCTTCACACTTCTTCTTCCTTCTCTTGTTAGGTCTTGATATTTATAGCCTCGTGATAAATCTACCTGTTGTTTAAATTTGAAAGTGTCCGTGGGAGCGGAGCTTCCCATTGGCGCAGATAGTAGTTTGTTCATGGCCATATAGATCTTTCATTTAATGCATTTGATCTTGCATTGAATGCTTGCTTACTGAATCTGTGTTACGTGAAGTCTTTTGTGTAGTTCGTTTACTTCAATTTATGACTTCAATCATAACCTAGGTATTTCTGTTCTCTCTCCCCGTTAGTGTGGCTGTAGAGGCATTGTCTTTTTCTGAAAAGTAGGTGTATTTTCTCTGACACACGCATGCTTTGACTTGTGGATACGCGCTTGTCCATCTTTCTTCTTTCTTCTCACAAATTTGATGACTTCGTGTGCTCTTCTATGAGTGTAGACGATATTTGATATCTCTTGTTGTGAATAGTGGGCTTCAGATGCTTTTTATTATTCTTCGTTTGAGTATGGTAATGTATCTCAAATTTGAGTCTCCGTCTAAGAAGTAGACTTTGACTTTTCCTTTCGTCTGGTCAGTTGTGAAGATGAAAGACTTTAATTCTGTCTGGAATGTTTCTTCGTCTTGTGTTATCCATCGTCTGATACTTTGTTGACCTTCGACTAGTAGTACGCCTTGTCTTGTATTTGTTGTATTTTCATCTGACTTTTGATCAGGCTTAGTCTTGATGCTTGATCAACCATCGTCTGATACTTTGTACAGCTCAACCAGGCTTCGTTTGGTTTAACCATAGTATGTGTAATAGGACGTACTTCATTTTTCAGTTTTGTTTGTTCTTATATTTATCTGAAACACTAACACACATGTTAAAAATAACAATATGTATTATATTTGTCATATTCAAAACCTTGTTGGGAATTGCTTCGTTTGACTTAACAATCTATGTTATAATTCCATTGGAGAACATTTATGTTTTATGTTGATTAATTTTCTCTATACACACACACACATATATATATATATACACACACACACACACACACACACACACACACACATATATATATATATATATATATATATGAGGAGGCATCCGTTTATTCCTAGAGTAAGTCTACCTAGACTTACTTTGTTCAATAACTCATGTTCTATATCAAATTTCAATGATCTAATAGTTAAATTTAAAATTCTTAATGCATAAATCAAATCTGCAAATTTTTAAAAAATTTGAAAATTATTTAATATTTTGTTTCGTAAATTTAAATCAATGTATAAAATGATTTTATGATTATCCGTCAATTTAAATTAATAAAATAAAGTATCAAATAATTTTCAAATTTTTTAAAAATTTGCATATTTGATCTATGCATTAAGAACTTTAAATTCAACAGCTGAATTGTTAAAATTTGATACAGAACATGAGTTATTGAAAAGAATAAGTTTAGGTAAACTTACTCTTGAAATAAACTGATCCTCCTCTCTCTCTATATATATTGTTGAACATATATTAATTGCTTGTATGATAATCTTAATTAATTTTGTATTTTTTGCTGCTAGTCGATGAGTTGTAAAATGCAAGATCTATTAGGTCATTATAATTAGTGAATTTGTCAAATATTGCCATACAAAATTCACTAATTTTTATTTTTGTTAGTAAAAACATTATATTAAATTTAGTTAATTTTGCATAATTATCTCAATGTATCTTATATATGTTATTGGTGACATGAAAAATTAAAACTATATTTTTTAAAATTACAAAGATTAAAAAATTTAATTTTAAATTTGAGAGATAAAAAAATTTACTAAGAACTTTAAAATATATTTAAATTTTATAATAATTTAAAACATTAAGAGGAAAAAAAAAATAAAATGCAATAAAAGAGATAAAATGAAAAATGGGCGCAGTACAAAGTATGTGTACCTAAACTACGTACACAAAATTTGTCGGGAGAGATAAAATTTGCGTGGAATTCCACAGAGAGAGCAAAGTAAGTTACCACATCGCAGTCGCATACTCATTTTCGTCTCATCGACACGCCAAACACTGAACAGTGTTTGTTGTTGTCTCAGTCTCTTTTGCACACACAAGTCACAACCCCTAACCTCCTTCTTCACTTCACCAGATCTCACTCACTGCAGAGACAAGACGAAATGACGGTCATATCGGTTCATCAATTCGCGCAATGCATCACTTGCCACGCTTGGAGCCCCGAACAATCCAGTAATCATCCTCTCTCGCTCTCTCTCTCTCTAATTTTTCTTCTTCTTTTTTTTTTCTGCGAATTTTAGGAAATCAGATACGATTTAAATTTTTTATTTGTTCTGTTAGTTGATGGATTGTGGTTCTGTAGATGCGATTTTGATTGGATCTAGTTTTGTGTTTCTTCCTGTGCGTTTTAAGTTTTTCACTTGAAAGCGAACGAAGGTTGTCGTTAGTGGAAATCTTTTGAGCGAACGTTGTTTAGTGGCGAACTTGGTTGTGTCGAGAATCGATTTCTTTTGCTTTGGATTTTGACGCGTTTGGATTCATAAGACTTGGAAAATTGCTGATGTTGCCGTGTTTAATGGTGTGTTTGGGAGAAGGAAAGATGTGTGTAACTTGTTTGATTGTTTTGATTATCAGTTTGAGTAATTCGGTAGTCTGATTTGAATCTAGGGTTAAATATACTATTATTAATCCTTATAATGAGAGTGAATTTTGGTTCTGGTCATTGTGAAAGTTTTTCTATGGTTTTCATCTCTAAAAAATCTGAAACCATTGTATTTGGTTTCTAGTGTCATGTGTCACTTGTTCACCGCGTAAATGTGGAATGTGTTTAACGGAGGATTAGGTGATCATTGCATGTTGCATTTACTTGTGTTTGTGAATCTCTATTGTTCTTTTTATAAATCCTTAAAATGAATGTTATTTATTTATTTACCTTAAAAGCAAAATGAATGTTAGGTACGAGAAACAGTGATTTCATATTTTGAAGGGATGCAAATAGAAAGAGAAAAAACATAATAAGCTCCGAAATAAATAAAAAAACATCTTTTTATAAAAACTAAAAACATATTTAAACCTGAAATTTGTTACAACTTTTCAAAAACTAGTCTGCTTTCTAGCTGCTGGAGAATGTTATTATTTAAGGAGAAAATTAGTAGTTATATTATTGTACACTGTAATCCAAGATGTATAGAAGAACTTGAGAGAGAGGTACTAGAAGTTTTGGACCCAAAGCAGAAAATAGGATTACAGTGCGTGTGTAGCGTACATTGTGAAATGTTTGTACAAGAAGGGAAGTGGAGAAGTAAGGAGGTTGAGTGATAAATTGTTTGGATATTTAAAACCCTCCAAATTGGGGGTGACTTTATTACTTAAAAATGTACATAAACGGGGTAGTTTTGGAGGTTCACATGATATACCCTTGTTTTCTTTCCTAATAAACTCCCAAATGAGAAGAGTCTTTACTTAAAACCTTCCCTTCCATTGCTATCTCTCCATCCAACCACATCTAGCTTAATGAGAAGGAATGAAGGCCGTCATTAATTATCTGTGTTTTATTCAATTATTAAATATCTCTTTTTCTTTATTTCTTTCCATTTTCTTGCCCCCAACTCCATGTTTCCCCCCTTTTAAATGAATGACAAACATTTATTGAAATATACTGAACCTAGATGGATGGACCTTTTCATCATGCATGTTGGCCTTAGACATCAATTTTATTTCTGGACTAAATCAAATGTGATTCATGAACATAGTTATTGATTGTGTGCTATACCAGCGTGCAAGCCCTATCACAGCCTCCTGCTGCAACAAATTTCAGTTTGTGGAGAACTTTAACGCCATGCTTGTCATATAGTGATTTGAAGCCAAAGTTGTCACCATTTGTACTGTTATTGCAGCATAAGGGTAAAGCCCCATTTCCCCCCCAGATTCTGACTTTTAAAGCCCTAATATTTTGATATTTTACCATTTCCCAGAAATATTTGGCATCAGAATATTGAAAACCGTCTTTTGCTCCTTTCCATTCATTATTGTTTGAATCAAGCATTTTTTTTCTCGTCCAACCTCATGAGCTCAAGCCCACTGATTGCTGGCAGTATTTCTGGCAATTCTAGCATTTACCAGTATTTCTGGTCACGGGAGTCTCTAGCTACTCGACCTCAATCATGCACTTTTTTTGCAAGTTATCGGCTTACTCTCTGCTGACCTTGATCACATCTTGTAGACCTTTATTTTTGTCACCTCTGTTCTTTTACTCAACCCCCACTGTTGAATGACTTATTAATTATGAATATGTTGTTAATTTTGAATAACTTTCTATCTTTGAGTATTTATGTGCATGATATAAATTATTTGTTAGATCTTTAGTCTTTGTTAAGTGGTATAGCTGCTATGAAGCCTGAATTCTAGTACGGCAGGGGTATGATATGACACGGATATAGGAATATGACAATTTTGTTTTTAAATTAAGGATACAATTAATAAAAAGTTACGGGAAAATGTATATAGATGTAGAATATTGGTAAAAAAAGAGACATTAATCATTTCTCAATAATTCATAATTGCAATGATCACAATTAACAAAAAGATATTTGTGAGCATAACAAAAAAATTTCAGTTTCTGCCCAGATCATGACCAATCTTAGCTAATTATATCAATAAATGCATCTTTGGTAGAACTGAAAACAATAGCCTACAACTCAAAAGCATCATTACTAAACTACTGTCTAATGCTAATTGCATCACTCTCCTCTCCTCTTCCCCCATTACCATCATTTAGAAAAAGCATAGCTTCTTCATCAAGAGATAACTTTGCCAATTCAAGAAGTCCAGCACCATCATCAAGTGGATGATGTATATCTCCACTAATGTCTCACAACCTTGTCTCTCCTTTTTCATACCATTCATCTTCCATGGATAAAAGTTGAAGGTTGAAATGCACATAAACTAGATTTTCTACCCCTTTTGGATCATTTTGTTTTCTTTAAATTTAAAGAATGAATAAAAAAGTATGTACTCCAATTTCTCTCTCAGCTGAGGAAGGACATGGCTGCACAAGAAGCTTAAGGGAAGCTTTTTGGATACATATCTACAAGCATCCTTGAAAAAAAAAAGGATAAAAAAATAAATAAAAAATTTATACTATCGGATATGTATCTGGAAGTATCTGAGGAGTATCAGTGTCTGACATAAATGCGACACCGATACTCTTTCATTTTTGGAGTATCCTTGAAAAAGAAGATAAAAAATGATTAGATACTTTTTGGAAGTAATCTGAGGAGTATTGGTGTCTGACACATATACAACACTGATACTCTTTTGTTTTTGGATTATCCTGGCTTCATAATATAGCTGCCATCTCACTATCTACTATCCCACTATAGCAGTTTTGGTGTAGGCCTCTTTGTGCCACTATCAAAGGGTGATAGCTATGTTCATGAAATGTGTAAATTGTAATCAAAACTTGTTGGAACTGGGAAGTTTGATCTCAATGAGCTAAAATTTAGGTTGAATGTTTTCTGTTATTTAGCTGTTTGTGGGTCTTCTGTCAAAAGTTAATACTAGGAAATCTATTTCAAGTTGTTGTTTTGGTTTAGATGTTTCAAGTTTTTTTTTTTTTTTTTTTTTTTTTTTTTTTTTTTTATTATACAAATTGACATCATCTTTGGGAGTTTTACTATTTCATGAAAATGATGTGTGGGCATTTGAACATTTCATGTATCATATTACATACTTAAGATAAAAACTACAGTTCATGGGGCTTACCATAACAAATCTATTTTTTATTGCCTTTTAAGGCATATGATTGCTGCTTTTATTAATTCTTCAAATATTATAATATATTTTTCTCCTTCTGTAGTGGTTGCTTTTTGTCCAAATAATAATGAAGTGCACATATATAAGTTGGTTGAAGACAAATGGGAAAAGGTGTATGTTCTTCAAAAGGTACTCTATTAGTATTCCTCCCTTTTCTCAATCAAAATAATGTTATTAATTCTGTACTCGTTCTTCTGGATGTGATCACAGTTAGAAAATATTTTAAAGTTAATACTTAATATAGATTGTCAGGACTCAGAAGTGATTGGACAAGCAGCAAGACTTATTGCAATTTTTTCTGCAATAAGTTGTATTAGTTTACCAGTGTTCTATGAACTACTATGAGTACTATCTGAGTCTTGAAGCATTTGAATCTTTGTTCATGAAGGCACGTATTCTTGTGGGGATCAACTGCTGAAGTTGCAGAGGACTAATAGTTATTGATGTACCCACTCATGCTTGATTGCTTCTAGGATTACTTAATTATTTACCTTTTTGCAATTAGAGACTGCTGCTAGGATTACCTTGCAATTAGGGGCTGCTGCTAGGATTACCTAAAGAATTGAGAAACTTATGTGGGAATATTTCCCTGTCCTTTATTAATTATCTTTTGACTTTACACACTTCCCTGAGTCAAAATTTCCTTAATTTTAGGTCCAGTTCCTCTATTATTATCGTTTTCAATAAATACCTAAAGAGAAACTTATGAGGGATTCCCCTGTCCTTTTTAATTTTTATCTTTTCACTGTACACAATTCCCCTGTTCAAATTATCCTGTGTTCTAGTATCCACTTTATTCCTGGATTTTTTTTCACATTTGTACAACAGCACCATTGTTTAGAGGTTTGGTGAATGTTGCGTGTACCCTCTGGCTTTGAAGCAATTCTAATTGATTAAGTGAAGATGGTTTGAAAGGACCACGGAGGGCAAAACCTTATGCTGTTCTGCTATACAATGTGTTTGGTTTTAGCAAAATGCTTCTATGTCCAGGGTGCTTCATTATCTTTAACACTCTTATGAGAATTTTGATTATTTAGACTTCTTTTTGGATCTCTGGGATGCCTTCTTTAGGATGCCTTCCCATCATATTTACACCCTCTGATTTTGAAGCAATTCTAATTGATTAAGTGTAGATGGTTTGAAAGGACTATGGAGGGCAAAACCTTGTGCTGTTCTGCTATACATGTTTGGTTTGAGCAAAATGCTTGTATTCTCCAGGATAGTTATTCAAATCTTACAATTTACAATTCGAATCTTATGATTTGAAACAATTTGGCAACCTCCCGATTCATATCTTAAGATGAATCTAAAATGATTTTGTATCTTACGATACATGAATGAATCTATGCAATTTTGTAGTATTGATACGAATCATAAGAGTTAACTATTCATTATTTTTTTTCTCTTTTACCTTTTTTTCACCAATTATCATGAAAAATTGAAAAGTCGTATAAGCTTAAATTGTTAAATGAAAAGGAATTGAAGGAACACTTATGAACTTATCCTATTTGACTATTTTACAAGTCAATTTGTCACTCATTAATTCAATTTGGCCTTGAGTGCTTTTGTATGTGCCTTGTGTGTTTGTGTGTGTGTGTGTGTATATGTATGCTATTATTGGTTATTAATAATGAATCTTACAATTCATGATTCGATTCGATTCATGATTCAAAAAATAAGCTTTCCGATACACAAATTGTATCCCGATTCAACTACAATCTCCAGGTTGCTTCATTAGCATTAACACTGTTATGGGAATTTTGATTATTTGGGACTTCTTTTTGGCTCTCTGTGATGGCTTCTTTAGGATGCCTTCCTATCATATTTGCAGAGGGATTATTGGGTAAATTTTATTGTCTTAGCTAGAATCATACATTGTCCTCTTTTCTTTTTCTACGATGATTTTTGTTTCTCTAAAATATTTATTTTTGTACCACATTAGGTGGGCAGAAAGTGTGGATTGCTCGGCAATCTCTCTTCTCTAGAGTAATTTGTTTGGTGTTTTTGGCAGAGATTGGATTTGCCCCAAGGATCCTCAGAAGTTCCTTTGTGTTAATTTTTGAAGTGGAGATTGTTTGAGATTATGGGTGGTTCCCATATATTATGTTCTGATTTATTTGTTATCATTGATTGTTGATGTTTATTTTTTTTTTTGTATTTTAAACAGTTTTCTCATTTCTGTATAATAGCATATCAGGTTTATTCCTTCTAGATTTAGGATAATTCTTTCATTTTTTTTCTTCTTGTTCCTTATATATTTATACATGTATCTCTCAGTGCTTTGTATCAAGTCAAATATATCAAAATTTTCAGTTTTGCTTTGCATTTTAAACAATTCCTTGCTTATCAAAATAATCATAGGATTCCTAGAAGTAAACATGCAATTTTGACAACCTTGATGTTAATAATATCATGATTATTTTTTTTTCCAACACATTTCTGTTTGTCACGGTTTAACAAATTTGGTTGGAGATTTTGTGAATAGTTTTTTAGTTGTGTTTTGGCTTTTTATCTCAGCATGACCAGGTAATTTCTGGGATAGACTGGAGCAGAAGATCAAATAGAATTGTTACTGCATCCCATGATCGGAATTCGTGAGTGCCTGTGTGGTTTAAAACATTAGACCTATCACCCTAGCTTTTGGTTTCTTTTTATGGTTGCCTTTTTTTCATATACACAACAATGTGTAATAACAAATTAAAATACGAACCATGTGTTCTTTGTAGATATGTCTGGAACCTTGAAGGATCAGAATGGGTGCCAACTCTTGTTATCCTTAGACTAAACCGTGCTGCCCTTTGTGTTCAATGGAGTCCAAAAGGTATGAATCATATTGCCATGTTTCAGTTGCTATGTTTCTCTTCTTAAGTAAGGATAGTTCATATATTCATGAAACTTTATGTAGGACAAACAATTATTCTGAAAGTTATACGAGTTATGCCTGCCTTCTAGAATTAGATAACATATTTTTGGTGTTTGAATCATCTCAATTGAAAGCAAATGTGCAGGAGTGAAATCTTTGTTTGCTTTTCTACTCTCTGCACTGTTGAATTACACTTAGTGACTGTGTTGGAAGATGTAATGATGGCTAAGAGGCTATCATAAGCTAACTCTAGTTATGCACTGTTATGCATCTCTAATGCAATTTTTTTATATTTGATTGAATTTTTGCGAGCCCAAATCTTCCAAGTCTTTGGTGTAATGTTTAAATTGGAGGTTTGATCCTCCTCTTGGCCACTTTTATCCTTTCCTACTCAGGTGCTTGCACCTGTGACATTATTGTTGTTGCTGTTAAAAGATTATCTGCTTCTGATGCATTTCCAATTTCTGTGTGGCAGAAAACAAATTTGCAGTGGGAAGTGGAGCCAAAACTGTTTGTATATGCTACTATGAGCAGGAGAACAACTGGTCTGTTTCGTTGTACTTTGTTTCCCAATTTTATTTGCTTCCTGGCAATATAATGGTTTTGTGTAGTTTGTGCATTCTATATTCACCTTAGATCTTCTTAATCCGTAGTTTTAGACCTGGATGTTTATAGAAGGTGTGTTTAGAGTTTAGACAGTATTATGTTGTGTCAGATAGCCTAACATTGGAAGCATTGTTTTAATTGGTTTCTAAGGCATCTAATGCCCCCAATATATATCTTCAGTTAGTGGAATAGCTGGTTCATGTCCTTGACAAATTAACATGTTCATAAAGGTTGACCTTGACAATATTTAATAATTCAAATTGATGGGGTATGGAAGACAAATATCTTTAAAAACAATAAGTATGTTGAGACTGAGTAGATAGTATTCAACACTGAGAATCCTTTCCTACAAAATTGAAACTTGGATGTTTCCTAAGATTTAAGTAATATCAAAATACAATTTTCCTGTATAACATGTTGAAAAGCCTCCTTAATTGCGGTCACCCCTAGCCTGCCTTAGTTGCAACCTCTTTAGAGGCTGCCTTAATTACAGCCTCAAGGATGGTGTTTAGTCTCACATTGATTAGAGATATGTCTTAAATAGAGCTTATAAAACTTGGAAAGTGCTCAACATACAAGCTGGTTTTGTGGGGATTGAGTTAGGCCCTAAGTCCAAATTCTAAGAAAATGATTATTTCTCATCAAGTTTGAGTGTAGTCATTGTGGTCAAGGTTGTCAAAATCAAGTTTCAATGTTGCAAAGGAAGAGAGGTGTAAGATTGTCACATGAATTGTAAGTTTCAACTAAAATGCAAAATTATATTTAAGCACACATGCATAAAAAAATAACATAGATAAGAAAAATAACCTCTAAATCACAACAAACATTTAATTAAACTTAAAGATTCATAAGGTCTTATTCAACTCATGAATCCAATAAGTTTTTGACAAGACATAGGCAATGCATAAACTAAAGCATAAAAGAAAATAGAAAATAAGACCAAGTATCTAACAACAAAGCACATTGCAACAAAGAGGGAACAGACAACTGAAGAAGAAAAAAGAAACAGCTACAGTCAACAGAGAGGGAACAGAGAGCAACAGAGCATGTGGCAACCCAAAGGACCAAATGGTCAGAGAACACAATAACAGTGAATGGAAGGGGTCCGTTAGGGTAGAGGGAGGAAAACCACAAAGGGTGGGGAAACCAGAGTCACTCGAGTGTTGAGAAAGGGTCACACCACATTTGACCACTCAAAATGGAAAACAGGTTTTATTTTTAAGGGTCATGCAACCGCAACCTTGTTTGTTTTGCACTAGCAGCACATTTTTGGAGTGCCACTCTGATGATTCAACACTTTGGTGGATTTTGAATGGTGACTTGCCAGGGCTTAAAAAACATTGAATTGTGCTATATTGCAATCCAATGAGTTGGTGGATTTTGACATTGATTGTGGTCTTGTTGAGAATGTGATCAAATAAAATAGAGATGAGAAATCAATGAAGCGTCTTATGGAACATTGGGATGAGAAACCAATGATCTTTTAGCTCACAAGTTTCATGAGAAAATTAACAATGAAGCCAGGATTATAGCAAATTAGCAATACATATGTTATTGATAATGACACTAATTTCAATTGGTTTGCATGATTAATTGTTTCTGGATTTTGGGCTTGTTATGTTACCTTAGTTCATTTGAGACTCATGTATGCCATGCCAGTTTAGACAGTAGTTTGTTTGAGACTTGCATAAGGTTATTTATTGTTACTGTTTAGTTCAATTGAGAAATTAGTTTGTTCGAGACATATGCAGGATTTTGTAGACTTGTTATGCTACTTTCTAGTTAATTTGGGATTTATGTTGACTTTAGTTAGAGTTGTCGTGTGTAATGAATTTTCTGTTTTGTATCTTGGCATTATTTTAGCAATTAGCATGTGAAAATTTTCTTATTATATATGGCAGACCCATGAGTTCACTCATGAGTGTGTTGGGTTGGATCAGGTTGAAGGAAAAATGTATTTCCCTAACCTTTACCTAATCCAATCCGCTGCTTTCATGAGAAAGTTGAGTCCAAAAAATCCTAAACCCTGCTCAACCCATGATACCCATAGTTGATATAATTGGAATATTAAAATTTCAACATAGTTTTGGGTCTTTCTTGTCATTAATTTATACATTTGTATTTACTTTGCAGGTGGGTCAGCAAACTTATCAGGAAAAGACATGATTCTTCAGTGACAAGTGTTTCTTGGCATCCGGATAATGTTAGTCTGACTTTCTCATATACATACATGCCAGCATACATACATACATATGTAAATACATATATAGATATAGATAGATTTATATTACAGTGTTTGTTATTATTTTATAGTAGTTAATAGTTATTAAAAGCCTTTCTTGTATACCAAGTAAGGTCCAGGTTAGGTTGCACTTGCTTCACTTGAAAAATTCTTCGAAATGATTCAAATTTTTTTTATGGTTATATTTGGGTTATTATTATGATATTATTTGTAATCCTCAATATTTTAAATATATAATGTGTCTGGCTTTTCATATACATACATATATAGATAGATGTATATTCCGTGTCTTTGTTATTATTTTAAAGCTGATATTAAAAGCCTCTTGTATACCAAGTCAGCTTCAGATTAGGTTGCACTTGCTTGGCTTGTTGAAAATTCTCAGAAATGATTTATATTTTTTTATTTGGCTATGTTCTGTGGATTATTATTGTGATAGTATTCGTAATCTTCAATATTTTAAATATATACTATTTATTTAAACTTTTCTTGTGACCTCTTGTTTCTCTCGGATAATGTCTTGGTCTGTTGAATTATTTTAGTTTCAGGATCAAATGTTAGATTATTGTGTTTTGAAATATATTTGTTATGTGATATAAAACCCCCTATGCACAACATCTTTTTTTTTTTTTTATGTTTTAACTGCAGATTCTTCTTGCGACAACATCAACAGATGGGAAATGCCGAGTATTCTCCACCTTCATAAAAGGCGTTGATGCAAAGTATGATAAATGAAACTCTGAATGTGGCCAACTTTTCTGTTTATTTTTTATATCACTCAAGCTTAAATGTGGAATTGGTGCAGGGATTCAAAAAAGGGTACTTCATCAGATTCAAAATTTGGAGAGGTTCAATTTTAGCACTTATTCCTCATGTGAATTTTTTATATTCATGATCAGCTTAATGTATATTTGCATAGGTGTTGCAATAAATACATTGCTTGTGAAGCCTGTTAAACATCATATGGATATATTCACATGTTGATTGTAAAGTTGAAATTGATATTATTTATAAAATAAAAACACTTAAGGTCTGGATTTATATATTTTACAGTAACTGCACTGAACATTTTTTAGCATATTGATCAATGACTGAATGTGTCTGATATTTGGTTTGTGCAAGACTATAATAACTGAACAATGGTTTCTAATTAGTTTTCTTGTTAGAGCATTTTCAATACTAGAACCCATTTTGGGTTCTTAATCCATGTTTTGTGGCTCTCTCAATGCCACTTTGGATTTAAGAAATTTCTTTATTTTTGCTCCAATGGAAGAACTTAACATTAGTTCATAATACATTTTATGGAGCCTACATTTTTTATTTTTATTTAAGTGAAAATAATAAAAAGTTAAAAACATTTTTTGTTGATTAGAACCAGCTCTTTAGAGTTCTTATAAAAAACAGTTTTTACACTGTTTCATCTACATCAAATTGCCCCAATGGTAAAATTTATAAGAATCGGTTCTTATATTTAAGAACACAAGTAAGAACTCATTGAAAATAACCTCAATGAATTTTCTTCCATCTCCTAAAAAAATAAGAAAATAGAGAAATGAAATGAAAAGACCTGTTGGATTAGTGTAGCTTCTGCTTATTATTAGAATTCTAACTCAGAAAGAGAGAGAGAAAGAGAGAGAGAGAGAGAGAAGAAAACTCGTATTTCTATTATGATTGTGAAAACACATAGTTCAGTTGTAACTAAACTCCAACAGAAAAAAGAAAGTATACAATTCAGCAGGTCTCTATAATAAGAGCCTGCACCTATACTACTGAAAACCAAAGAAAACTATATTAATACAACTATCAGTCTAGTATTCTAACACTTATGATGTTTTTCTTGTCTAACAGATGATTGTTCAGCTGGATCTCTCATCGTCTTGGACATTTGGAGTCAAGTGGTCACCAAGTGGAAATACTCTAGCGTATGTAGGTGAGAAAATTCTCTCTTCTGGCTGGTTACACTTTGCTAGTTGTCATTATGGCTGCAAGGGAAATGTATCCTTTATCTGTTTTCATTTTTCTTCTTTCTGATGTAAAAAATTCAACATTGCTTATGAGCTTCTGATGAAGTTTAGTTATTGAGCTTTTGTTTAATAAAAGAATAATAAAGAATAAACATGTTAGTATTATTAGGTTTTCATGGTGCACAAAGATTTGATTTATATATTGACCCATCATATTAAAATAAAATATCAGGGTCTTTCATAAAATCATGGGGGAAATCATTGTATTTAATTAAGTCTGCGTATGTCTTTTACTTGTGACAAACTGTATTTGTTGATATTATACAGGTCATAATTCTATGATATATTTTGTTGATGATGTTGGTCCTTCTCCTTTGGCCCAAAATGTTGTGTTCCGTGATTTGCCCCTCCGTGATGTGGGTCAGCATCCACTCTATCTTACCATTTTTAGTTTTGCATGGCCATTTTGCGGTCAATTTACTAACATTTTCTGGAACTGGTGGATCATTGTATGACATGTTTTCAGGTACTATTTGTTTCTGAGAGAAAAGTGATAGGTGTGGGATTTGATTGTAACCCAATGGTTTTTGCTGCAGATGAAAGGGGAATTTGGTACGTGCAATTTCAGATATTTGTGTTTAAGATTGCCCTTGTCAATGTGGCTTGGCCAATTTATATGCAATCTTTCTTGTAGAGCTAATTATTGAGGCTTTTCATCTCTAAATGATGATGCTTTTAAATATCTTTAGTTGGAAGGAAGAGAAGCGATTCTTTTGGTTCCTGATATATTTTTCCTTCATTTGTGGTGTGTTTTTCCTCTAGGAGTTTTGTCAGAAATCTGGGAGAACGGAAAGCAGTATCTTCTGGATCCAGATATGGCTCGCAGGTAACTTAGTTTCTTGCAAAAGATTCTTCAATATTCAGCAGTTATGAGAAACATGAAACTCTAGCAGGAAATCAATTTCATTAATTGTAAATGTAATGTCTAAACATGGAAATACTGATGTAGTTGTGGAATGGCTAGCTCATTGTAGAGAGAATTCCTGGTCCTCCTAGCACAAATTTAGATTTGAGAAATTAGAAAAATGGCTAAATTATATTTTTGTCCTTTATTTTATTTGTTAGATTCATTTTGGTCTTTTATTTTTTAAAGTGTTCATTTTAGTCTTTTATCTCTTAAATTTGGGTCAATTTGGTCCTTTTGAAACAACGATTGCTTTCAATTTTGAGACATGATTTTAGATTATTATTTGACTGATTCAAGACTTGAAATTTGTCTGATTAAATTTACTTATATGAAAACTATTGGATACAATTGAAGTTCAAATAAAAAAGTATTACAAACATGGTGAAAATTGCATAAAAATAAGTCCAAAAAGTAATTGAAAACTCAATATAATTTCATACTATTTTCGAGTTATTAATGAGACATGTTTTTCACACGATTTTCACTATGTTTATAAATTTTTTGGATTTAAAAGTTAATTAAATTTTATAATTTTTATATTGTTGAATCTAATGTTACAAGTTTTACGTCTTGAATCAGTTGAAAATTAATTCAAAATTGTGTCAAAAAATTAAAATTTATTATTGTTTTAAAAGGATCACCAAATTGATCCAAATATAAAAGATAAAGGATCGAAAGGAGCATTTTAACATATAAAGGACTAAAATTAATCTAAAAAATAATATAAAGTACCAAAAGTATAATTTTGTCTAGAAAAATAGAAGGATCAAAGATAAAGACCTTGTGTTGTGTAGCAAGACTTTATCTTGGAATCATCTTGTAATCCATGCAAGATCTTTTATCTAAGCTTCGTACCAAAACAAAATCAATTTGCAACCTTGAGGTTCCACTCTTATAAGTGATTAGATGCCTTAAAACCAATGTTTATCATCTTGAAATCATGAGTTTTTGGAAATTCTTACAATGCAAGTTTAAATCTAACTCAATTTTACAAAACTGACTTATAAGATGAGAATTGCTCCCCACTTATATGCATTATTATGCTCCTACAAGATTAGACATTTGTGGGTGGTCTGATAAAAGTACGATAATGGGTGACACAATAGCCTAACAACAAATGCTCGTTAGAATAGGTTCTAATATCATCTTTGAAAGTAGATTGAGTCTAATTCAACTCTAAAAAATTGGCTTATAAGTTATCTAAAATCAACAATATTGTCCTTCCTAGTAAGTTCCTGTAAATCGCTGCCTCTGCTGATATGCCCATTTAGATCCCTGTTATGAGTTTCTTTTCTTATGAAAAGCCTTAAACCAACCTCTCCAGATCTTCCTAAAACTTCTTTCAAAATTGTTTCTGATCCAATGTGTGGTGCATAAGCATTCATAGTATTGGCTAGCAGCCATTAATTTTAAAGAAAAAACCTGTCCCCAGTCATTTTTATATAGACCCCATTCTCCGTCCAATTCTTGTCCACAATACTTGTCAGTGTACCAAAACCTATTTAAACACTCTTGGACTAGCTTGTTTACTCACATTCATCCAGAAAAATGTGAGCATCCTTGCTCATTTAACACTACATCCAAGTGCTGATGTAGCGACTTTTAACTCATTTAGTATTGTACTCCAACCATTGTGTGTTACTTCTAGGCAACTACCTAGCGCACTCCTGTCATGAGTTGTCCATGTTTGGGGTTTCAACAAGTTTTTATGTTGTTGATTTGTCGAGGGCATAATTTAACCCCCTGTTTACCAATGCCTGGGAACAAAAAATTAGTAAGGGACACAAATCACACATTGGTTTATAGAGAGACCAAAAATGCTATTAAGTATTTCTTTTATTATCTAAATTTCATATATAATGTTGCAAACTTTGACATCTAAATAAAGCTTTAGATAGGTTGGCACATGGTCATTAGTTGTATATATTTCATTTATTCATGTAGTATTCATTTGTCAAATTATGTCTTTTAATCAGTTCTCTGAAGCATTTGGGAAGTTTTATGGCCAATCAAAGCATGGAGTGAGCAATGACGCAGTTGAAACTTCAAGAACGCGTGGAATTGTTCATGAAAACTGTATAAAGTATATATCTCCTTCATGAGCTCCGTACTTTCTTTAAATGTGATTGGTTGTTTGCATATTTTCTTTGTAAAATGCTTAGTTTTTTCAATTCTACGATATGGTTGCTCGGTTTCCATTGTTCTATTTATTTTGCCCATACCCGCAATACAGTGTATGAATTTTATAAACAGAGTCAGGAAACTTGGAAGTCCGTATAAACTGCTAATGACTGGGCTGATTTTTGGGCTTTGTAGTTGTATTATGCCTCTTGGGGATCATGGCTCATTGAAAAGGCGTTTCAGCACATCAGGTTAGTGAATGGTGGATGGTAATCTGAATTTTTTATGTTGTCTGTGCTGATAATGTTCTTTGTTAGTTTCAATTAGGCTGCTTCTGCTAATTTCTACTCATCGAATCTAACAGGATTGGATGGAAGAATTGCTGTATGGGATTTGGAAAATGAGCAAGATCTGTTGGAATAAGCTTATCAGTAAATTGTCCCATCTTCGTGGCAGTGTGAAGCTGATTGTCGCATGCAGCATTATACCTTGTAAATTAATTTGGTTATGAGGGATTGAAGTGATCTCTAATCATTATAATCAAGGCTTGAATGTCTCAGATATCAGCTCTTAGAATATGTTTATAAACTGTACCTGTATGTTAACGAATTATCCTTTTCTATATTTTGGCTGTTGTTTTTCATGCAATGACTCTCTCGGGAAAAGATATATAACCAATAATATATTCTTACAGAGGAATATCAGTGTTCATCTTTAGACGACTTAAATGTTCTTTTTCTCTATGCATGACATATTTTCATCTGGTCCATCATTTTCCTGAAGTTAAAATTCAGTCCCTGTAAAACTTTTATTTCTCATATAATTCTTTTGTTACAAGTTTTGTCCATCAAGTGTAATTTTCTATTTTTTTTTTTGTCCTTTTAAATATAACAAATTTTCATTCGACTTTTCTAAATACTGCTAGTTTTTAATTTAGAGTTTATTTGGATACAAATTTAGAAGTGTTTTTGAAAGCTTTCCTACTAAAAAATATTCTTTATTTTCAAAGAAGTTCTCAAAAATGTTTCTAACTTGTATCTAAATAGACTTCTACTATATTTTGTATAATATGTAATATAAAAGTTTATTCAAAGAACTATATTATTTTTAAAAATAAAAGTTCCTTATTTTTTGTTGTCTTCGATTAAATTTCTGAATTTTGCACTTCAAGGACATAAATCTTTAATTATTAGTTGCATTTCATCAAATATTGTTGTGATTTAAGGATTGTGTAGCAATCTTTAACATACATAACTCTTATTTATAATGAAAAAAAATAAGAATTTACATGATATGACATAATATGATTAGCAAATATATGATTAACCTTACTAAATCCTTACAATATCTTAATACTTCCCCTTAAGTTGAAACATATATATCATACACACCAAGTTTGTTACAAATATAATTAACTTAAGCGATTTTGTAAATATATTTGCTAATTGGTCATTAAGTGGATGAACTTAGTTGAGATCTTTCTTAAGAGCACTTTCACTCTTACAAAATGTGACAGTTTGTTTCTGTGTTTAGTTCGCTTATGGAAAGTCGAATTGGAGGCAATGTGAAGAGTAACTTGATTATCATAAGTGAGTTTAGTTTCCTGAGTGTCTCCTATTTGGAGTTGTTTGAGAAGTTATTGTAGCCATGTAATTTCACTTGCAATTGTTGCTATAGCATGATATTCTGCTTTCGCATTAGATCTAACAATTATATTTTACTTCTTTTCCACGAAATCATGTTACCTCCAATCAAAACACAATAGTCAAAAGTAGGCCTTCTAGCTGATGGCGATCCAACCCAATTAACATTAGAGTAATAAACAATTTTGGAATTGCAATTGTCCTCATATAGGAGTTCACAACTCAACATCTTCTTGATATATCTAAGGATCCACATGACTATTGTCCAATGGCTATCATGATGATTGTTGATAAATGACTTGCTACATTTATTAGGAATGCGATGTCTAGCCTAATGACAATTAGATATCTTTTTAGGTCATCCAATGATTCTTCTTGACTCGAAAGAAACTTGATGTTGAGGTCATCGAAGTGTAACTAGGACGACAATCAACCATATCAGACTCAGTGAGAATGTCTAGAGCATATTTTCATTGAGAAATGACAATATCGGAAGCAAATTCAGCAACCTCGTTCCTCAAAAAATATTTTAGGGGGTCGAGGTCTTTTATCTGAAACTGGCACTAAAAGTGAGATTTGAGGCGATAAATACCATTAGAGTCTGACAATGTCATCAACATATACCACTAAATAAATGTAAAGATCAAATGAAGATTGAAGGAAGAAAACTGAGTGGGCAACCTCACATGGAGTCATACCAAACTTAATTATGGTTGAGTTGAAGCGACCAAACCAAACACGAGGAGATTACTTGAGGCCATTAATTGAATAATAAAGGCAACATACAAGGTAGAGTCACTAGAAGTAGTATAGTCAGGAGAGTTGGTCCATATAAACCACTTCGTGCAATTCACCATTTAAAAATGTATTTTTAATATCTAGTTAGTGCAATGACTATAGACACTCAATTTCGTCTGGGGGCATACAAATAAGGAAAAGGACTTCCATATTCAGAGAAAAGGAGCTCTCAAGTATAGAAACAACAGGACATGACATCAAAAGGCCTAAGCCCAAACAAGTTGGTTTTAGTAGCCCAGAACAGGCTGTTCCAAAATTGGAATAGGCCGTTTCCAACTCAGAACGAGCTATTCCTAAACTGGAACGGGTCGTTCCTAACTCAGCACGGGTCGTTCCTAAACTGGAACGAGCCGTTCTAAGGTACTAAAAAGGCCTAAAACCCTAGTTTGGAACGGGCCATTCCAACATAGGTTGTTATGAGTAAAACGCGAACCCAGAACGGGCCGTTCTAGATTCATATTTTACCCATAATGGATTGGCCCAAAACGGGCCATTTCGAATCTAGAACGGGTCGTTCCGGTCAGTTCTGAAGTCTATAAATAAAAAACTCGGGCACAGTTCTCAAGGTCAGGAAATTTCGTATAAGACTCCTTTGAGCTCGAAAATTCTCTCTCTTCCCCCTATTGTATTTCTTGAGATTTGTGAGGCATATTATAGTGTAAAAGGTTGCCACAAAGTACTTAAAGATCTCCATATTTGAAGATTTAATAGAGTTCGTTTAAGAGGTATTTCAGTCGATTCTCTCTTATTTTCTCTATTCCCTTATTTCAAATATTGTTATTATAAAGGCAATCATATAGACGTTTTAGGATTAACCATGTAATTTTAAATTTCAAGCATGTAAATTATAATTCATAAAGGGGATTAAATATTTAAATTATTAATTCTTACTATGCTAATTTCATCATAAAGGTACTGATTAAGGGAGTTGTAGAGGTGCTTAATACCTTCCCTACATGTAATCGACCCCCCGAACCCAATTTTGGTTATCAAGGCTATTATTGGATCTTTAAAAACCTTTTGTTTTTCCCAATGTTTTGAGTAAAACATTGGTGGCGACTCCATGAACCTATTTTCAAAACCATTAATTAAGGATTAGTATGGTGTCCGGACATTCCTTAATTGATGAGATTTTCAAAAAGATGTCTAAACGATAGGTTGCAAGATCGAAAATTTTCGAGTTACGACAATGACCAATGGCGAATGGTAGCCATAGCAAGAAACGAACGAATAAAAGTTATCTTGGCTATAAGAAAGTATCCCGATAATCAAGGCCATAGATCTGAGTGTCCTTGTCAACCAACTATGCTTTAAAGCGATCAATATTGCCATCTGGGACAACTTTCACTGTGTACACCCATTGACAACCAACTATAGACTTGTTAGGAGGCAAAGGCACCAACTCCCATGTGTCACTAGTATGTAAAGCATCCATATCATCCAACATTGCCTGTCTCAACCTAGAATCAGTCATAGCTTCACTTGTAGACCTAGAAATAACAATAGAATCCAAAGAGGAAACAAAAGAAAAATGGAAAGGAGACAATCAATGACAATAAAGAGTACATGCATATAAACGGTTAGGATTATGGGTAGATCGAATACCTTTGCGAATGGAAATGGGAAGCTTGAGTAAAGGAGGTTCAGGTGTAGGGAGCATTGCCAGATGACCTTTTGGAACAAGAGATGATGTTGAAGGATGTGTATGTGGAACCACCTATGGATGTCGTGTCCTTCTCTGATAAACAAGTAATGGTGGTGAATTAGTGACTAGAGTGGGAGTTGGAACATTAGGTTGAGCATTCAAAGGAGGATGATTGTCAGCATCCATAGAGAAGAAAGGAGATGACTCAAAGAAAAAGACATCAACTGAAACAAGGTATTGTTGAAGTTGTGAACAAAAGCAACAATATTTTTTCTAGAGACGAGAGTACCCAAGAAAGACACACTTAAGGGATCGTGCAAAAAGTTTATCTCTTCTTGGGGGTGAGATCATGGACAAAACATGTACATCCAAAGATACGAAGTGAGACAAGATAGAGGTCATGTTGTGGATACAAAATGGTGTATGGATTTTGATTATTGAGAATAGAGGAGGACATGCGATTAATCAAGTAACATGTAGTCAGAACCTCATCACCCTAAAAGCAAAGTGGAACTTTATGATGAAGGAGAAGAGTATGAGTTGTTTCAACCAAATGATGAATTTTGCATGCAACAACACTATTTTGTTGTGGTGTATGAGAACAAGAAGTTTGATATGAAGAATATCTTCCGAGGAGAGTAAAAATTGGAATTTGGAAGACCAATATTATTTGGTATTATTATTGTGTGAAATTTGAATTGACGTCTCAAACTGAGTAGCAATTAGTGGAAAAACTTCAAAAAATATTGAAAACATCATAATGGTGTTTTATTAAGAAAATCCAAGTGCAATGCGAAAAAATCATCAATAAATGTAAAGAAATAAGAATGACCTAAAGTTGAATTGACTTGACTATAGGTCCCCAAATATTGTAGTGAACCATAGTAAAAGGTGACGCAACACATTTATTGACACTAGATCTATAGGACTGATGGATATGTTTACCTAATTGACATGACTCACACTAGATGGATTTAATTCGTAGAAAAATTATGAACTAAAAGATGTAATTTCTTTAAGTTGGGGTGACCAAGACGTTGATGAGCAAGATCAATACAAGTGGAGACACAAGCAATCAATGGTGAAAGATGATACAATCTCTAGACTCATGTCCTACTCCAATTGTCCGTCTGGTAAGTCGATCCTAAACAAGAACATAATTATTAACAAACAACATAGAGAAATTAAACGAGTGAGTTTGCTAATGAAAATTAAATTAAAAGGACAACTAGGAACAAACAAGACAAAAATGTAAAGGAAGGTTAAAGAGTGAGTGTGTTTGAATGCCATGAACTATTAGTTGATAACCATCCACAAGAGTAACAAATGGCAAGGAGGTTGAGAAAGACAAGTAAGAGAAAAAAGGGATTGGTTACTGGTCATATGATCAGAAGCACCAAAGTTAAGAATCTAAGGTCTAAAAGAAAGAAACTAAGAAATAAAGGATATAAGATTACCGGACTGAGCCACAACAGTGACAAGTAAGGCAAATTGTTGGGCTACTTGGCTTGTGTAATTGGTCGATTCGATCAATTTCTGACATGGAATTAGGGAAACTTTGGTAAACGTCATGGACAAAGCAGAAATGGGAGTTGGCATGGGAAATGAGGTAGAGAGGGACCAAAACTAAATAGGACCAAGCAGAGGCCAAATGGAGCCAAACAGGGTCATTGGAGATAGTCAACCATAATTGAGGGATTGCCACAAAAATAATGTCACGTGCATTACTATTCATGAGTAGGGACAATTCACGTGTGGTATTGTTCACGCAGTAAAAAAATTTACAAGTTTTAAATACCATATGATTTAGAAATTGTGTGTCAATCTTCAACATATATAACTCTTATTTATAATGAGAAAAAAATAAAAATTTACATGATATGATATCATTAACTAAGATATGATTAACCTTAATAAATCTTTACAATATCTTAATAAATATAAATGATCTTTTACAATTAATTATTATTAATTCCATATATATTGTATAGGAGACATGTTAAAATGAGATAAAACATGATTTTTATTTTATATTCAAGAAATTGTCAATAGGTGTTTTGAAGAAATTAGTTTAGGGAATAAAAATAGTTTTTTGTTTTTTTTTAAAAATAAGTGTTACTGAAACACTGCATAATTTTTTTAATGAAATATCACCATAACATTTTTAAAAAATTATTAATTCCTTAACTATGATTATTAAAATACTAATTATAATTATCCGTAAACTTAAATTAATGAAATCAAATAGTTTTCTACCATTTTAAAATTTTACAAATTTGATCTACGCATTAAAATTTTTTAATTTGACAATTAGATCGTTAAAATTTAATACAAAATATGAATTATTAAATTATGTAAGTTATAAATTTATTTTAAAAATAAGTGAATCTCATATATATATATATATATATATATATAATTTAAAATTATAAACCCATGTATCTTGATTTTATACTTTTTAACCTAAAATAAAAATACAATAAATAGAGAAGAGAGTGTGTTTAAAAATGTAAATACGAAGAGTGCTAACAAAATTTTTCTCTCTAATGTATATACGAGGAAAGTGTGTTTGTTTGAAAATGTATATATGACTCTGGTCTCCAATGTTTTATGTATATATGAGATGTCTGACACACAAACTTTTACATTTGAAAATAAATTTTAATCAAATACAAAAATAATATTTAAAAAAATGTGTTACTAACCATCAATAAGATAGACCTTATAATAACTTTGGTGAATTTTATTTATTTATTTTTCTAAAATGTATAGATGAATGAGAGTGAGAAGGGCTTTTTGACCTCAGTAAATTAAAAAAAATTAAAAATACTTCCCAATACACATCCCCTAATGAAAGCATGAATCAAGGAGATCACTACCATCACACTCCTAGAAGGTCCATAAGACCTAGGGAAGTCAAAGTTGACCTTCCACATTTCTTTGGTAAAGATGATGTGGAAGTATACTTAAATTGGGAAATGAAGGTTGAGCAACTCTTTGCTTGCCACAGGGTAAGTGGAGAGAAAGGTCCCTCTGGCTACCCTTAGCTTCCAAGGGCATGCCATGTATTGGTGGACAACTCTAGAAAGAGAGAGAGGCCTCCACAATGATCCTCCAATTCAATATTGGAATGATCTCAAAAGTTCTATGAGGAGGAGGCACATTCCCACCTACTATGGAAGGAAGCTTATGAACAAGCTCCAAAGGCTCCAACAAAGAGATATGTCTGTAGAACTCTATAGGCAACAAATGGAGCTTTTAATGATGAGGGCAAGTATAAGGGAAGACGAAGCTACAACTGTAGCTAGATTCTTAAGTGGTCTTAATTTAGAAATAAGAGACCAAGTGGAGCTACTACCCTACAGGGACCTAAATGACTTGGTCCAACTTTGTGTAAGGGTAGAACAACAAATTTCACATTTTTACATGACAAAATTATTTAATTTTAACACAACTTGAATTTTTAAAAATATGAAACACAGATTTTTAGTTAAATTAAGCTCTTCATCTCTCTATAATATTTAGTCTACAATTTTACTCCTTCAACTTTTAATTAAGTAACATGCATATGATAATAACCGTCTCAATTTTTCGACATCAAGATGAGGCATAAGAAGATCGTATACCTCTTTCATCATTTGTCGACAAAAATAATCATCATGTATATACAAGCAATTTTTACCGAGATGAGTGACAAAGGCAAATATATAGGACTTTTATGCCCTATATTTTTTCACGATGCATATAACATGCATCTAATAATAACCATCTCAATTTTTCGACATCAGGATGATGCATAAGAAGATCGTATACCTCTTTCATCATTTATCGACAAAAATAATCATCATGTAAATGCAACCAATTTTTACCGAGATGAGGGACAAAGGCAAATATATAGGACTTTCATGCCCTATATTTTTTCACGATGACTACAACATGCATCTAATAATAACCATCTCAATTTTTCGACATCAGTATGAAACATAAGAAGATTGTATACCTCTTTCATCATTTGTCGACAAAAATAATCATCATGTAAATACAACCAATTTTTACCGAGATGAGGGACAAAGGCAAATATATAGGACTTTCATGCCCTATATTTTTTCACGATGCATACAATATGCATCTAATAATAACTGTCTCAATTGTTTGACATCAGGATGAGGCATAAGACCTGTTTCATCATTTGTCGGCAAAAATAATCATAATGTAAATACAACCAATTTTTACCGAGATGAGGGACAAAGGCAAATATATAGGACTTTCATGCCCTATATTTTTTCACGATGAATACAACATGCATCTAATAATAACCGTCTCAATTTTTCGACATCAGGATGAGGCATAAGAAGATCGTATACCTCTTTCATCATTTGTCGACAAAAATAATCATCATGTAAATACAACCAATTTTTACCGAGATGAGGGACAAAGGTAAATATATAGGACTTTCATGCCCTATATTTTTTCACGATGCATACAACATGCATCTAATAATAACCGTCTCAATTTTTCGACATCAGGATGAGGCATAAGAAGATCGTATACCTCTTCATCATTTGTCGACAAAAATAATCATCGTGTAAATACAACCAATTTTTACCGAGAAGAGGGACAAGGGCAATGTATACGACTTTCATGCCCTATATTTTTTCTGGGGGGAGGCATTTTCAGTTCAAATTTGCCCGTGCCACATCAGCAATAGAATGCGCCTGGGGGGGAGGCTTTTTCTAAAAAACGCCCACCCCCCGGCGTTTTCAGTGCCACGGGTGTGCTGACTTGTCCAAAACTACCTATTTCAGTAATTAGTTTTTTTTAATTTATTTCATGTATTTTTAATTTTTTTTAATTTACTGAGGTAAAAAGGCGAGTTAGAAGTATAAGCAAAGAAAAGATATCCGAAAACATTAGCCTCACTTCATTTCTCTTCCTCTTCAAATTCATTCATTCAAAACTCAAAATGCTATCCACACTCCAAACCCCTCGCTCCCTCACGCGCCTCTCCCACTCCTTCACCTCACGCGCCTCCCTCGCCGACCAAGCCGCCGCCCCTCCCCACTCCGAAATCCTCTCCATCCGCCACGCCCTCCTCTCCCGCCGCGCCTCCGCCGCCGACCTCGCCCGCGCCCACCTCGCGCGCCTCCGCCGCCCCGAGCCCCGCCTCCGCTCCTTCCTCCACCTCCCCGACGACGACGCCCTCCTCGCCCACGCCCGCCGCCTCGACGCCCTCATCGCCGCCGGCCACGACCCCGGCCCCCTCGCCGGCGTGCTGGTGGCCGTGAAGGACAACATCTGCACCGCCGACATGCCCTCCACCGCCGGCTCGCGCATCCTGGAGGGCTACCGTCCGCCGTTCGACGCCACCGCCGTGAAGAGAGTGAGGGAATTGGGCGCCATTGTGGTTGGGAAGACCAATATGGATGAGTTCGGAATGGGAAGCTCCACTGAAGCTTCTGCGTTTCAGGTATGTGTTGTTTTGCCTTTGAATTTCAATTTTTTTTTTTGGTATTCTTTTCCAAGGGCTTGTTTGTTTTGTTCAATTTGAAGGCTCGTTAGTGTGTTGTGTTTTTGAGGTTTGGACTACTCTTTTAATCATATGTATTCAGAGAGATAGGGTATTGTTAGAGTATTGAAATTGAGAGATTATTAAAAAAGTTTCATTTTTTGCGTACGGGTATGAAGATTTGGGAAATGTTGTTTTTATAGAAAGTGTACAACAAATTTATTTATTTTTTATTCATTACCAAGGAGTATCTTCTGTCCGAAGCAGGATTAATACTAATCTCTTGGAGGGTTTGAGAGATGTCGAATAGGTGGGCATTTAATCCCGGTTTATGCTTTAGGATGAGGAGAAAGACAGAAAAGAGAGAGAAATATGAGATGTGATAAGTGATGCAATTAGTGTTGTACAAGGTACTACAAAAATAAACACTACTAGAAAATGAAATAAATTTCTTTACTAGCTAAAAATATTATTATCTAATTTGTAGATACTTTTTCATATTAACATTTCAGAAAGTAAAAAAAATATATATTTTTAGCTTGTACGTAAGTTAGTTTTAGCTTATAAATAAATTTATTTTATTTTTCTTTAAAAGTACTTTGGAAAAGTTTATCCGGTTAACCTCAAAATGTTGTATTAACTGTTGTATGAATAATTTGTTGAGAAAAAGGTGTATGAAAAACACAACTCTAGTTATGTTTACATCACTAACTAATTAGAAATTACCATATATATGACTTGTAAAATAATTGTTATAAAAGTTAATAATTTTACAATGCACATTAATCTATGATTGGATGACACTGTAAAAAATATTTACACTATTGGTGCATGCCAATTACATTCTTAATTAAATGCATTAACAAGATGTTGATGATCTTTGGAGTTAGTAAAACTGTTACAAATTATTATTTTTCTGGTGGTTTCAAGCCACTATAAACTAATTTCAGGATTCAGTTACATTTTTTTTTTAAATTTAGAGACCAAAATTAAAAGTTCTCAAAAAGTTTAAGGACCTATTAATGTATTAAACCTATTTGTAATTAATAAAAGGATGACTGGATGAGTAATTTTATGACTATGATACTAGATGTTGCCTTTTTGTGTTTAGGAGTTCAAATGTTGATTGCCTGATTTATTTTGAAAGCAGGATTTCAGTGTTTGTTTTGGAGAGAAAATGAGGAATGAAAAATTTCAATGAATGACTTGATTGACATTACATGAAATGATGTGTTGCTAATTTTCATCCATGTAGATTATTTCCCTTCTTGTTATGGCAAAACTTGATGGAAATAAAAAGTGGGCTTGTATTAGCTGTGCCTCACCTGGGGGTTGACTGTCATTTTTTTATTTGGTTTCTAGCTTTATTGCTTATATTGCCTATTTATAACTGCAATTGGTTTACTCAGGTGCTGCATATGTTCATTCAATAGGTGACTGCTAACCCATGGGATGTGTCTAGGGTGCCCGGAGGATCGTCAGGAGGATCAGCTGCTGCAGTTTCTGCTAGGCAGTGTGTTGTATCGTTGGGAAGTGATACTGGTGGAAGTGTGAGGCAGCCAGCATCTTTTTGTGGTGTTGTAGGTTTGAAGCCAACATATGGGCGTGTCTCAAGATTTGGACTTATGGCGTATGCATCATCACTTGATGCCATTGGTTGCTTCGGTTCATCAGTTGCTGATACTGGGATTCTTCTTCATGCAGTTGCTGGTCATGATAGATTTGATGCCACCTCAAGTAAGCAGGTAAGAGTATAAGTTCGTAAGCTATTCAATTTCTCTTTATTTTCCAGGGATATTAATAATGTTCTGTAAAATCTGTGTCTCTATAAGATGAGTGATTGCTGAAAATGTTATTCATTTCTTGTTAATAAGCCGATTTCTATTCAATAATTAACAATTTCATTTGCCAGGATGTACCAAACTTTCTATCTCATTTTGTCTCTGCGAGTTCCTTGGAAAGTAAGCCCTTGAAGGGACTCAGAGTTGGTCTGATCCGTGAAACTATTGATGATGGTGTTGAAGCTGGAGTAATTTCTGCAATTCGTGCTGCTGCTTTGCATTTTGAGGAATTAGGATGTACTGTGAATGAGGTTCTTATCATTTTTCTCTATAATTCTGAGTGATAGCTTAACTTTTGTAGGTGCTTTACAAGTCTGTATCATTACTGTTTATATCCTTGGTATGTCCTTTTCATTTGTCTACTAACTTATTGCAGGTCTCACTTCCATCCTTTTCCCTTGGGTTGCCAGCATATTATGTCCTTGCTGTGTCTGAAGCATCTTCCAATTTGTCTCGCTATGATGGTATTAGGTCAGTGGTTGAACCCCCTTTCATATCTCTCTCTCCCCAAACACACACAACAGACCACAATGTTTCATTACATTTTCATTGATAAACCATTAGCCTGGCTTTAACCCTTTGTATATATTTAGATATGGAAACCAAGTTTACGCCGATGAGCTAGATTCTCTTTATGGAGGTTCCCGAGCTAATGGGTTTGGTTCTGAGGTACACACCTTTCAGTCCTTAATTTGAAATTTGGCTAGAAAATGTGTGGTAGCTTTACGTATACCATTTTAAAAGAAATGGTTGATATGTGTTTGTATTTGAGCTAGCTTTCAATTTTAAATGTATCAGGTCAAAATGAGAATTTTGATGGGAACATACGCCCTTTCAGCTGGTTATTATGATGCATATTACAAGCGTGCACAACAGGTACTACTAATATTATTCCATTTTTTTCTTGATAGGTCTGATTTAAGTCTTAATATGAATTCAGTTTCATAAGATTGGTTTTTGAAGTTTCCAGAGTTAATCAATTTCATCTTCTAGAAGTTTAGAGTTTTAATGAAGATATTTATGAGTGTTATATTACAGGTAAGGACCATAATAAGGAATAGCTTTAAGGAGGCACTGAATCAAAATGACATCTTGATTTGTCCTGCAGCTCCTTCAGCTGCTTATAAAATTGGTAAACTTCTACATCTCTTTGCTTTTGCATTATTGCATTTTAGTGCTTGCTGTGCTAATTGTTTCATTGCCTTCGGCATTTTCAGGTGAAAAGAAAAATGATCCCTTGGCTATGTATGCAGGCGATATCATGACTGTAAGCATTTCATTCTTCTTGAGCTAGATTTCTGTCTCATAGTTTTGATTATATGTGAACCAGATATGATAGTATGAAGTCTTAGACTTGCACTATTGAACTTTTTCCACCCCACTTAGCTCAAGCATGAATCACACATGAGCTGCTAAAACTTTAAATCATTTGAGCACTTGAGTGGACCACATAACTGATGGTGATCAGATTTTGCAAGAATAGTTGGTTAAGCCTTAGAAAATTTTGTTCGGTGCTAACCAATCCAGGGATTATCTTTATTGCTAACCGTTAACTGTGGGGTTCTCTGCATTGCATTAGTTCATACTCAACATGTGCCAAGTATGTATTAGTTTGAGTTCTAGCAGCTCGGCGAGGAAATTTCCCATTGGAATTAAATCACCATTGAGCATAACTAAATAATTACACAATGGTTTAGAGTTTGATATTCTTTGTGTATTGTCTGAAGTTTCATTCATACACATTAACGAATCAAGCGCGGTGTTTTCCACTTTCCCTTCTTAATTTGTGGTTTGGCTTTTTATAGGTAAATGTTAATCTAGCTGGACTACCTGCCTTGGTTTTGCCATGTGGATTTGTTGAAGGTGGACCTTCAGGCCTTCCTGTTGGTCTACAAATGATTGGTGCAGCATTTAATGAGGTATTGACTTTTCCCATCCACTGCAATGGACTGCTTGTTGATGGAGTTCTCTATGTTAATGGTTGTTTTGTTTTGTTTATAGTCTTTATATCTTAAAAATATTAAAAAGTAAGATGTTGATACCTGTAAGATTTTTTCATGTTTGAGTTGAAAATGTCAAACAAGGCTAAGAGAAGAAAAAATAGATAAGCTTTGGGGATAATGTAAAATTTTTAAAAATTTGGTTCCGTCAAATGAGATTTTGTGTAAAAAGTACAAATTTCACAATGATCTGAAAGATGAATTGAAGTAGGAGGCATAAAAGTTGAGCAGATGTTGAGCTGAAAGACTATCAAAATTTAAAAGGTGAATAATAGGGAGGAAACATTACTGATTACATTTTCATAAAAAATCTTCTACAAGAATAATTTTGGATTAGTGTGAAATTTTATAAATATGACGATTCAAACTTTAAATCCAATTGTAGATTTTGGGATAAATTATTTACTAAGAAGTTATTAGATGATTAAAGAGTTATTTGACCTCCAGTATGTGAAAATATACACTCATTTTTTTGTAAAGATACAATTTGTCAGTGTGATTTTCTTTGCTTATAAGATTGAAATTTGCCATATGGCCAAACTTATGTGGTCTTACTCAAATTCTGATTGGAAACTTTTGTGGAATAACATATATAATGTGATGATGTGCATGAGTATATTTTGACACTAAGATGCAGAATCATCTTTTGGTTGTGAATTAAATTGCAGGGAGAGCTGCTGAGAGTGGGACATATCTTTGAGCAAACTCTTCAAAATTGCAGATTCGTTCCACCAATTGTAGCTGAAGACATTGGATACTGAGTATAACTTGTCGTTCTACATTTTGGTTTTCCATCAATGTTTCATTAGTTCCATGACCAATTGACAATGAGGTGGCTGGAGCAGGTATTTTTCGGCAAAGTTAATAAAATTCTTCTCCAAATTATGACTGCAACTGGATTGAGTGAGCTTGAAAGTTCACTATTTGAAATTGAATATGTTCATAATAAACCTTCTAGCAGCTTTTGATGAGTGGGTCACTTACCATGGTTAGCACAATTGTATGAATAATTAATGTATTGTGTTTATTATTCTGTGTAGAACTTGCTAGATTGTAATTGAAACAATTTGCCCTTGTAATTTATTCTTGAGGATTTCTTTCGAATTAGAAATATTATAAGTAGGAATGTTGTTTTTGGAAATGTTTAAATAGGTGTTTGGTTTATTTTAATATTTTCTATAAATGTTTTTTAAAATTTATTTAATTTTAAAACAAATAAAAATAGAAGTTATGATTACCCTAAAATCTAAATCCTAAACTGTGGTTAGACTAGTCTAACGACTATATGAGCCGGGTTTAAAATCTATGATCTTTCCTTTATTTTAATTTGATTATATATTGATTTGAAAATTAAAAATTATTTATTATCCTTTGTGGTCAAACTTATGAATACTATGTAAAGGTTTGACATTCTAAACTTTGAGATACACAAATAAATACTCTTATTTGAGGATTTCTTTTCTTGTATTGAAATTATTTTTCTCATCTTGTGTCAAATAATACAACATTCCTTTTCTTTTATTTTTTAGACAATTTGAAAACCATATTTTTTAATTTCTTTCACAATTGACGACTATTATTGTCATAAATAATAATTTGGTGAATAAAGTAAATCATTTCAATTTAGTATATTTTTATAACATAATTAATAGTATCTTTACGTTAAAAAATTATAATTATTGTGTGTGAATATTTCTATGTACATACATAAATACTATTTTTCATTATAAATTCATGAAAGTTCTTAGCGACATGTGAAACTAATAAAGGTATATTGTTGCAATCTCAAATCCTTAAAAATACATCTAATTAGTTATTTATGTAAATGTATTTTCAAATTATGTTCTTAGATTGTTTCGGGAAAAAATAATTATGATTATTTTGAATAAAATATAATATGCATATATATATATATATATATATATATTAAATAAAATGTAATTTTTATTGTTGACCACTCTTGTATTTCAAACTTAGCCCCACCCCTGCTATTTTTATTTGTGTTGTAGTGTATTTGTATATGTTTGTAGTTGTACTTTCTGAGAGACTGAGACCCTTTTTTTTATTATTATTACATCGGTGCATGTTTCTAAGATCCACTTTTTAATTTGAAATGTATTAAACATGTAATAGAATTTATATATTTTTGTTAAGTTTCATCCTAAATATGAATGAGAAATATATTCGTCCCGACTTTGACGGAGAATACCCGATTTGACCGGTACGGGTAAAATCTGATATGTTAAATCGGGTATGGGTATATATATACCTGTATCGTCCCTGATTGAATTATATTAAAAAATTTAATATTTTATTATGTATAATTATTTATTATGATGTGAAATATTTATAGTTGTTTAATTATTAAGAAATCTCTTGATTAAAATGAGATAGAGAAACAATTTAATATAACTACAATATAATAAAAAAAAAATTTAAAAATATTGTTTATTTTTTCGTAAAAAAAATATTAATTTTTTACGCGTACGGGTATGGGTATACCAGATACCCGACAGGGACGGGAATGAGATGGAAATTACATACCCGGCAGGTACAGGGATGGGATTGAGTCGGGGACGGGGACGAGTATCATGAAACCCGTATCCGACACACCCCGTTGCCATCCCTAATCCTAACATCATTTTTATATTATTTCTATATATAAACTAACATAATTATCTTAATAATAGTGTTTTTAGCTACTATTTTTTAATGAGGGTAATTAAAAAGAAATTATCTTGTATTGTAATAGAAATTATTTATGACAAATATAAAATATAATATATGTGATAAAACTATTTATTTATTTCAAAGTTTAGTTATAATATATTTATATATTAAAAATTAATAATTTATTATAAATTTTAATTATATAAAATAAAATTTTATTTTATGTATTATGCAAGTTAAAATATTATTATTTTTTATACATAAATTAGAATAAGTATCTTTTTGAATAAGAGTGTTTTTAGATATCCTTCTTTATGGAGAAAATTTTTTGAGGTTTGTCTTAATTTTATCTCTTTCGATTTACCCACATTTTTATTTCTACATTAAATTTAATATTGTAAAAGAAAATATTAATTGATAAAAATAATCTTGTATTATAATATAAATTATTTATCATACATATAAATATAATTTATATACTTAAAAATATTTATTTATTATAAATTTTAATTATGATATCACTATAAAAAATATTATATATAAATTATATGTCACTATAAATTTAATATATATATTTGACATATATTTATACATAATTTAAATGTTGATTTTGAATGAGATTATATGTCAGTTCATGACTATTTTTTTTATTTTATAATATATCAACATATATTATACCTATAAAGTAATTAAAAGTATTTTAGTAATAAATATTGTATCATTATAAAGTATATATCATTACAAGATAATTTTGTTTTGTAGTACATAATCTTTAAATTCTAAAACAATGTTATATAAATCAAATTGTAATTGACTTGATCAAGATAGTGGATAACTAAGGTGAATCATTTTAAGTCAACTCTAATATTATTTTAAACATTTTTATTATCTCAGAACTTTATTTAAAATATTAATTTTATTTTATAAAATAATAAGTATGGTTGTTGAAAGTATGTTTATATTAATAAAAATAACTACCAATAATGTTAATATTTTAAATGTTAAACAAAATAAAAAATATTAACTTTAATTATTTTAAGTAAATAATATAATTTATATCAAATAATTATTTTATCCCAAATAAAATATTTAATCAATAAAATAAATTTAATTATTTTATTTAAATAAAATTAAAGAGCTTAGTTATTTAATCAAAATAAGAAATAAAAAAATCTAAGTACTTTATTCAATCTCAAAAATATGAAAATAAAGAATTTTAATTTCTTTATCCAAACAAAAAAATTTAAAAATAAATAAATTTCAATTGAAACAACTAAAATTTCTAAAATTTAAAATTCTTTAAACTTTTAAAATCCTCAATCCAAACACAGCCTAGAAAATCTTCTTGCAAAAAGAAAAATATCCACAATCCAAACACAACCTAAAAAATCTTCTTGCAAAAAGAAAAATATCCAATTACTCTTTCTTATAGTATAGATACTCGTATAAATCAATGGATTAAACAAAATTGAATGAATATTCTTTTTTTTTTAAATTGTTGGTAATTTCAAAGAGAAAAGGGTTAAACAAAATAAAAGCAAGGTAGTTAAAAAAGACGCGCTAACAAGCACATATTTATAGGTGTGCTAACCTAAACCATTTCCCATTGACCCCCACACTCCCTCGCGGCGCATGTTAGCATTTTCGGCCCTGAGAAAGAACAAAGCGCGTGAGACTCACGCGCCGGAGTCTTCATCCTCCTCTTGCAACCATTGTCGACACTCTCTCTTTCTCTCTCTACCTTCGTCTCTTCGATTCCTCCAAGATTCTGTTCCTTCTTTCGGATCCACTTCCGCTTCGATCCAATTTGTAAGCACTTCTGAAATTCTCGATTTCCACGTTCATCTGTGTTTGAATGAATTCAGCTTCTGTTTCCATGATCTGATATATCTGAGTTCGATTTTCAATTTTCTATCTTTTTTTTAATTGGAATTTGAATTTTTTTGATTGTTTGAAATTGTTCTCTTGATGGGTTTTAATTGGGGATTGGGGGTTGGAGGATGTTCTTCTTATTATTTTTTTTATGAATGACCAAAATTTACTGCAAGAATCTTATAGATCGTCTGTTTTTAATTTTATGAATTAATTTATGGAAAAGGTTAATATGATCCAGTTGAATTTTCAGTTGCTGTTTTACTGAATAGATTTTTTCAATTTGATGGTGTTTTCTTCATAGGTATAGCTCAGGTAGTTGGTGTGGCGTCAATTATTATTATTACTACGATGATCATGAGTTTAATTTGTATATACTGTTGATTAATTAGAAATCGTGTAAGGTACTTTTCTAGTTTACTGTGTATGAGGTTTAAAGGGTCTCATCATGCATACTATCCCTATCCCTATCACTAGCCCAACTCTAGTAGTTCAAATCGTGTTAGGTATAACTTTTAAATTATGAAAAGCAACAAATACATGACAACCTGTGATCGGAAGGCATTGTATTCTGATTGATTTTATCATGGTTGTTGTTGTTGTTGATGATGATGTTGTTGCTGTTGTTGAATTTAACTGCTAATTCATGTACCCAAAAATGGGTGGCATTTTAGTAGGAAAAGCTTACTGAGAAACAGAAAAACGGATGTATATATCAGCTGAGTTTCGTTAGTTTTTTTCTGTGTTCTTTTTAATGAATTTTTCTTGTTGGGTTGCTTTCTTCATGATCAGTGTTACAATGATGAGAATAGATCAAAGGCGCCCACCTAAGATGCCAAGCTTGGTTGACCTTTGTGTTCAGAAAGCGATAGATAATGTGAGGTACCTTGGAGATGTTGGTTGTCTTGACTACCATCTGCTTGATCAAATCTTGTCACACTGCACAATGCAGCAGTTGATGCATGTGGAGAAGTCTACCAAAGTAAGATGGGTTTTGGTTGTTTTTGTTAACTGAATGAAGTTGGAACAAGAATAAAATGGTTATATAATTTGATTGATTGGTCTGATTTTTCAGGGAAGAGATCTGAGCCCTGTAACTGATAAGTTGTGGAAGAAGTTCTTTGAAAAGCAGTTTGGCACAAATTGCACTAATGAAGTGATTCGGAGGATGAGAGAAAAGAAAGCATCATTTAAATGGCTGCAGTTGTATGAGGTAACTTATTTATTTGTTTTGCTGTTTTGACTTTCATTTTTTTCTTTTTAAGCTTGGTTATATTTAAATGAAAGAGAAGTGTTGGATATAACTTTTAGTTCTTCCATTTTCCCTATGAAGAACACCAATTTTCAGTTGTGCTAACTAGGTAAAATCCTTTCAGGAAGTTAGAATTAATTAAGCACATGCATAATAAGTGGTTTTAGCTGTTACTGGTTCAGGTGATTTGTACTGAGTGACTCTAATTTAGGGAATGATTCCTCTTATAATTAATACTTTAAAATGTGCATGGTATAAATTTATAAATGTGTGGAAAGATTGGTCTCATTTCTAATTCTATGCACAGGCAAAAGTAAAGGAAATGGCTCAGGCTGAGAATAGAGCAGTTGATCGAATCAGGCAACTGTACAAGAAAGAAGATGCAAGTATGACCCTAGTCCCTATTCTCATTTTCTTGTATTTTTGGTGGGGGTGGGGGAGGGGGGCTTGTCCAAGTGATATTGGCTTTTTTTGTTTTTTTTTTTCCTATTAAAATTACATTGACAACACCAAGGATTGAATCTAAGACCCGATGTATACTACCTCAATCCCTCACCACTAGACTAATCTTAATAATTCTTTTATACTTTATTTAAGATGAAGGTCTATTATTTCTTATTAATATTTTTGTATTTAAAAAATGCAAATATAACTAATAATTACTATTTGATTTGATTAGCCTTACATTTTACAGCATGGAGCTATGTAGGAATTCTTGGATAGTTATATTGCTTGCGACCTGTATATAAATAGTTACCAAGTATTGCTTCTATGCAGAGAAACAGAGTAGGCAAGTAAGGACATGCACCAAGGTTCCACCTTCAAGTAAAAGAAGATTTTGGGGAGGTAACCCTTAATTTCTTCATTTTGGTTTCCTTATAGTTCACTCCAACTACTGCACTTTTGTTAAGTATATTTTGAATTTGATCAAGTTTTAGTTTTTATTCACCATTTCATCCTTTTGAAAACCTGTTGTAGATAATGGACCTGGATACAATGTATCAAATGTGAAGAGCAATATAATGAAGAAGGCAAAGATAGAATTTCTGAAGAGGTAACATTTATTTTATGATTAATTGATGCTTCAAAGGATCTCAAGTTCAATCAATACTTCCATCTAGTTAAGAGAGTTACTAAGCTTTACCTAGGAGGGGATGCTAGCTTTTTATTTGATCATTGAGAAACTACACTTCTTTCCTGTAGTATACACGTGATTGCATTCAGTTATTTATCATCCACAAACTTTCCTACTTCACTGGAATCTTGTTCCTAGGTTGGAAACATTTGCTTAGAATTTCGCAAAATGATACTTACAAATTTTCCTTTGCCACCTAATGATTAAAAGAGTTAACTGAGTAAAATACTGAAAAAATAATCTGTATCTCAATTTATCACAAGTTTACTGGAATTTGGTATGGTGTAATTCTATCTTGTGATTATGCATCTTGAAGCTTGTGTACAACACTGAATATTGACTTCAATTTATTTTATCAATTTTATACAGTAATGAGGTAAAAAATATTGCAGCAATGAAGAATTCTATCCAGAGGAATCATAGGTACATATAACATCATTCCTTTTCTTTTGCTGAAACTATTTCTTGGCATTCACTTTTATCCTTGGTTTCAGTTTATAAGGTTGAACTATATTTTTGACCCTGGTTTTTCTTTTTCCTGCTCTCTCTTTCTTTTCCTATACAATTCTCATGCCGTTTCTCCATGTCCTGCAGTTCATCAAGCACCATGAAGACTGGAAGAATGTCTGGAATTGGTTCAACTTCCAAAGATCCCAAATCTACAAAAAGGATTTTTTAGAGGCAGATTGCAATGCTATGTATCATTATTTGCTTTTAAATTTTATCATTTATCTCCATAATAAGAAGAAAAAAAAATGGATTTTCTATCTCAGCTAAGCAATTTTACTTTTATTTAGATTTATGTTTGCCGCGAAAATAGATAGCTTCAACGTGAAGTATGCATGGTAATTATTGTAATATATTGATTTCCATGTATAAAAATTTCCATGTAAGATGTTTATGTTGTAGCTGCTGCTGGCATGGGGTGTCTGTAAGTTTGTTGTTCATCAATTAGTGAACCAGTGTCAATTTTAATAGGGAGGAGGAAATTGCATGTTTTATTGATTTCTTCAAAATGTTTACTGCTTATCTACTTGTGTTTGTTAACCTTGATTTGTATAACTGTATTCTTTAGATTAGCTATTGAGAAGGAATGGCTCAATGCTTATAATACCATGATAAATTTGTTAACAGTTCCATAATTCATTTTGAAACATAAAATTCATTCCATTTTTTAAATTTTGTTACCCCCCCTCCGGGGGATTAATGATGGAAATACAAATGGATGAAATTCATGGTTGTCAAACTCGCGAGTTAACTAGTAGACTCGTACGAGTTTACGAGTTTAGGGTAGCAAAATTGGTTAACTCGTGAACAGAATAGGTTTTTGATAAACTCGGGTGGACTCGCTTAGAATCGCGAGTCTGAGGGCGAGTTCGCGAGTCAACTTTAGGTTAATTTTTTATCCTCTAAATGTCCAAAATGACGTCGTTTTAGAGAGGGTTTCTAAGCCCCTCTATATTTTCTTCGATCTCTCTCCCTCTGCCGCATACGAAAACAACACTTTGCCTCCGTTGCGTTCTTTGATCTCTCTCCCTCTGCCACATACGAAAACAACACTGTCTGACTTCGTTCTATTCGCCTAGCGCCGTCATTGCAGCTTTCGGCGTCGTCACTGCAATTTCTGACGAGCTGTTCGTCACTTTTTCCTACTCGTCCAACACCGTTCATGTATGGTTTGATTGATAAATTTAGATCTTGTTTTATGTTTTTGACTTGTGGACTTATGTGTTTTGGACTTTCGGTTGTTCATGTATGGTTAAGATTTGTATTATGACATTTTATTGTTGTTATTTGACTTATTTCAGACTTAGAATGTTGAATTAGTGATATATATTGTGTGTGTTCATGTTTTTTAATATCTTTTAATATTAGGTAGACTCTTATGAGTCTACGAGTCGAGTCTACCAGAGCTCCACGAGTTTGTGTAAACTCTCGAGTTTGACAACCTTGGAAAATATCACTTGTAAGATAGTATAAGGAGATGCACTCAATATCAAGGCTGGAAGTTTATTGCTGCTTTGCTTTTTCATTAGGGTTGTCTGTTGTTGTTATGAAGACATTGATACATAATGAGTGAATGTTTGCATTTTTAAGCAATTATTAGTAATATATTCTCTAAAATAGCACTTTTCTAACTCACTCTTTATTAATTAAAAATTATTAAAATTACAATATTATGAGAAATGTTAATCAAATAAATTGAGACTTACAAAATATTGTGTTTTTTTTTTATAAATTTTATTTGTTAAAAGAGTGTGTTATCAATAGAAGAGTGTATTAGTAGCTTTTCTCAAGTATTCAATTAGTTACATATTTATATTTAATGTTTTCACACCATTTCCATCGTTAGATGATAGACAACAACTCCGAACAAGAATTCCATTTTGGAGGTAAAATAAGATCCAATGACCACTTAACAATACACATTATTTTAATTGAACTAAAAAAATAAAAACAACTTGTAGGTGAGAACATTAACATTTTCCTTGTTCGAATAATCAAAGGGTATGATCCATCTCGTGTTCTTCAACTTTAGCAAATGAAACTGTCATTTGAAGTAAGGTTCATGCCAATGTCACCCTGAACCCGTGATGTTACCATTAGCATTAGCATGATTCAATTGAATCATTAACTGTAGTAAAGTTTGTAATTCATGTGGGAATGATTTACAAGGCTCACAGCATAAAGACATAAACATAAGCAATGCAAGTTGTTAGTCAACTATGCCATGCACAAAAGTTTCAAGGCCTTCAAATGAGTCGAGGTTTTTAAGCATGGTTATGAAAAATATTTTATTAGAAGTGATAAAACTCATTTTTGATGATTTTTATACTTAAAAGAGAAAATAATGCACGTTTATTTGTATATTGGTAACTACAATTTTATATATTATATTACTAAAAATATTAATTTTTTATATTTTTATATATATTTACTTAATTTTATTCTCGAGAGCTATATTTTAAATGGATTATTTTCTTCAAAAATTCACCATATTTGTTCTTTTTATTAAGAATTTTATCTCTAATCTTAAGTTATTTTTATGAATATGAAATTACATTCTATTTCCAATTTATTTAATTTTTTAGCATAAAGTATTGTAACCAAATTTTTTTACCATAAAGTATCTGTTAAATACTAAATTAATTAACGACATTTTATTAAAAGATAAACATCATAAAAAATAATTAAATTATAAACAAGTTAACGAATCATGCTTAGACATCCTTATTTCTACTGATTAAAAAGTTATTATATACTGATAAATAAATTTTTTTAAAAACTTATTTCAAGGGTCAAAGCTTGAATTTCAAGTTTTTTTCCGTGTTAATCATTTGAACCCTTATAGAATGTTTATTTACAACTCTAATGATGCATTAGATGAAAGAAAGATTAATATAATGATTTTGTTTTTCATTTTTGTTTATTTTCTCTTTCTTTCAAAATTTATTTTCTTATCTCACTAGTAAACACTGAGGGTTGTCGTTGTCATCTTAGACAAGAGGTAGGATAATATTTCCCTTTTGAAAATCTCCCCCAAAATTAATGCAAAAACAATGTACTCATTAACATCAAATAAATGAAACACAGAATAAGTAATATAATTGTGAACATCATCTCAACAATCAGAGTGGCGCAGCGGAAGCGTGGTGGGCCCATAACCCACAGGTCCCAGGATCGAAACCTGGCTCTGATACAGAGTAGCTTCCATGTGTGTCTCTTTTTTCAATCGTTTCGTTACATTTTATTTTATATATTAAAATAATACAAGTGAACGCGATTTTGGTGAAACATTACGTAACCTAAGTCATTAAGATGCATTTGTTAATATGTATGTAAACAAAAACAGTAACATAAGTTTTTTTTTTTTTTTTTGCTTCAAAATTAAAGCAAAGGTTGTTTATAAAAAAAATTTTAAAATTAGTAAAACTCTTTTTAAATATTTTGTCCTGCACAATAGAAGCAATGGTACCAAAGCTACGGTGTAAAACAAAACTATTGAAGTAAAAATAATTTCATACTATAAAAGGGTAACATTTTTCATATATATATATATAGAGA